CTCTCTCTCTCTCTCTCTCTCTCTCTCTCTCTCTCTTCCCTACCCCCTGTGTGAGGCTGAGGACTAGTTTCCTTTCAAAAGACATCGATGGCAAGAGCAGTGACTTGGCATGTGGAAAGTGGAAGCAGTGGCGACGGGCAACATTTTGAAAAACGAAGTATAGTGCACATGGGCTTCCCTATGTAACAGACCGAGTCCTCCTGTTGCTCCTTGCTCCTTTTCACTTTTTAAGAAAAACTCAGCTGTTCCCTTTTGCTCTCAATTCACATGTGAAGCTTGGCCATAAATACTACACTTGAAATTCAATGTATGTGACTAGTACTGACTGCGCCAATTTCATGACAAGATTCAGCGCTGTAGCACGGACAGTTCAACTGATGGTTCCTTGAGCGTCTCACGAACTTCCTTGGGTTCTTGATAGCAGCATATCGAGCTCCATAAACTGAAAAAAAAAAAGAAGAAAAAATTTGGAAAAAAACTCAAAAAAAAAAGGGAACTTCCTCAGGGCAAGCAAGGATAGCTGCAGTCCACCGAATCATAGTTTTTTTTTTTGTTTTTTTTTTAAAATATATATGTAGCCCCTCGTTTGTTGTCCTCTTCTCCCTCTCTGCCTATGGTATAGCGGGCAGCTCTGTTTGACGATATATAGGGTTCAGCCTCCTGACGAGTCGGTGAAAGTCCGACGAAACAGTTTGTCACAGCCCCTCCCTCGTTTATTGTCCTCTTCTCCCTTTCTCCCTCCCTCTCTGCCTACGCTTCACCGCACAGCTTTCCTGCTGTATCCCCCCCTCTGTCCCGATATGCGATGTACGAATGGATGGTGCATTGAACCAAAGATGTGATTGCTTCATGCCACTAAGGCCATCGGCCACGTTCCCTTTCGACTTCAAAAAAAAAAAAAAAAAAAGCAAAAAGCTTCCAGTGATAGGTTGTAGGCAGTGACGGGGATTGCAGCTCTGCGACTGCGACTGAACGGTACATGAATGTAGCTGTTAGCAAACAATTCATGAACATACAAAACAAGAATAACCTTCGCTCCGATTACTTATACATTTGTGGTCACATCCACTCTGGAATACTAAGAGAGTTTGTTCCTCGGGACATCCGTTGAAAATTTGGATCGATGCAAAGCGGATTAGCACATCCCCTGCGCAATATATATAGCCTCCTGATGAGTCGGTGAAACTCCGACGAAACAGTTTGTCACAGCCCCTCGTTTGTTGTCCTCTTCTCTCTCTCTGCCTACGGTTTACCGGGCAGTTCTGTTTGTGACGATATATAGGGTT